TTAATCAATTTCAATTTTCCATTAATATCCAATATTCTGCAAAGAGTAAATGTAAAATCCTAGCTATGCAATTTCATACTCACTCGTTCAAGTCTCTTTTATAAAATTATTATTGATTATCCTTATCAATATTATAATATTACTTAGGTATTATGATGATTGTAAATTAATAATAATAATTTAGATACCTTATACCTAGGTATCTATTGATTATTATAGTCATATCTTTAATAGCGGTTTCTTAGAATTCTAATATATCAATATAAAAACAATATTTTTTTTATTTATTCTAAATAGTTAATTTTATAAATTGGAAATAGTGGTATGCGTAGCTCAGCAGCCTTATTTCTAAATATTTCTTTATTGACAAAAACAAAATATAAAATTTTCGACCGTGTAATTTTTTTGAGTTTAGATTATCAAAATAATATATTAAATTATATAACTTATAAACTTAACTATATAATAAAAAAAATATTATGGTATACATGAAAAATATTCAAGTACAACTTACATAATATATGGGTGCCAAAGATATTTTGTGAACACTGTAGAGTGTATAGAAAATGATTTTGTTTCTTAGCGAATGCTACAAAATTAATTTAGGCAAAATAATGTTAAGTATAGGAATAGTCGTCATAATATTATCAGTTAATATTTTTAACAATAAATTACGGTATTTGGTGAAGAAAGTGTATTGTGTATACTCACATAGTTAATACAAAGTATATATATATAAATAATTACATTGTATTATTACACAATAAACATGACACAATAAATTACTATAGGTACGCATATTTCAACAAAACAATTCATATCATATGGTTAAAAAACTCAAAACACCATGTGCTTAATTAAATACTATATATAGTTACGTATATATTATGCGTGCGTGTGTTTTAATAGTGAAAATTATAGGTACTTTCTTTCGTGCAAATACCGCAGCATGCACATCATGTGCACGATTTATCACAAAAGAATTCGGCAACTTGTCCTACAGCGATAATTGTTTGATCACCGGTTATCATATTGAAAACCTGTTTATAAACTAAAAATCTAATGAATACTCATCATCGTTGCACGATGTTTGGAATCCAGATATATAGAAATACAGAATACCTGTACAGATAAATAAGTGCACATTATACGTCCATTCAAGTGCATTGAGTTGACCACCATAGTCCTCTGTGTAAATACTATACATAAATAATATTATTATAATACACCATCTCGTGTAAATTGACAGCTTGTAAAGTAGGTCCAGCTAAAATTATATTATATTGCATAATATTTAGCCGTCCTATTTAATAACCGGATGATCCTTAAATTACTATATTTTGTTGATATACGTTATTTAACATCGAGAATAATTATTATTCTATGAAACGTGCATATTTTACTGGCAGACAGTATATAAAGACGCAGTGTATTGTAGTATTCGAATTTGCCGTTATAATAATAAAATAATAATACGTTGATCTAACCTACTGTGGCTCGAAATAAGTAAAATTAACCGTTTCGTGCCGATATGCGTAGGTATAATATAATATAGGTATATTACAATAGAGATAGTGCACATAACATTGTATTATTATACCGTCATAAAAAAAAACTTTTTAACAGTGTATATAGTTTCGGTAAACCATAATAATTTTTATCGTACACGTCGTACAGCATAATTTAACCTTCGTTATAGACAGATTAAAATAATAGTATGCGGACAGTAATTAATGTTTGAACTCCATCGGCGGCGGCGGTGTGGATGAGCTTCCATATTTGACCTGGTCCACCTTTGGGGATCTAACCCCGGCGTGGTTGTAGCCGGTATATTAAAATGTCGTCCAATAATCGGATACTCCTTTATAAACTTGTTCAGAGTAAATGTGATTTTCGATAATGAGTTATTCAATGACAACCAAAAACATTGATAACCACCGTTGAAAACACGATACTGTTTATTTTTTCAATAATTTGTATAAAAGCAAAACGGTCTTGTGTATACAATACTTTATTCATTAGTGTGTTCTTACGTGAAAAGAATGACCCTACTTTAACACAACAAATTTTCTCACATCAACAGGCCTATCGATCATATTCAGTCTGACAGTAGTCCACGTTTCAAAAACTATATACAATAAGTTCAATTTATTCAAAGCGATCCATATAATATTATATATTATGAAGTAGTAAACATTTTTTTCTTAAAAAGAAGGGGATAGTTGTTCATTTTTTTTTTCTTTCAATATAGGTATTTTTTTAGTAAATAATATAACAGATGTTGAAGAGAACTAATAAAAAAATTATGAAATTTATTATTTAACATTTAAAAGCACAAATTTGAAATATTATTATTTAAAAATAATATTAATATTAATTGTTTTATATTATTAGCTAAAGCAAAATGTACATATTATTAGTCTATATTATTTTCTGGACATCTCAAGATATAACGTTATATTTTGAGTAAAAGTAATGACATTTTATCATAATAGAAAAATAATAGCATAACAATTTTATTTAAATGCATAAAATAATGATTATCTAATTAAAATTTGTATGTGAGGTATGTAAGCAAACTGTTTACATACAAAAAGTATTGAGTACAAAAAAAAACTCCATAGGTATACATTTTGTTTTATACTTGGCTGTAAATATTTATTTGAATGTATTAAATTTTAAACAATTTTGAATTAACTTGGGTATGCACTCTAAGATTATGAATTTAAGTTTAATTTAAGGTATAAGTACCTAATTGTAATTTAAAATTGATGTATTCTTTAGTTATAATGTAGATTAGAAGAGTTTTATTAACTCCAACGTTGGTTTATCTTTGTTACGAATTACAATTACAGTACCGACGTGTCGACAACACAAATTCTAAATTAAAATCCGTATAACTGACATTAAACATTCTTTAAATCACATTATAAACAGCTAAAAAGCGAGTCCATCATTGATATACATTTAACATCGAAATGATTTACGATTCGATGGATTTTAGGGGTTGTAATCATTATACTCGAGGGTGAGGGTAACTTGCAGGATATTCGGTAGTCATAACAGCGTTTATTCACGCCACTTAAACGGAAATCCCACAAACATCGGCAAATCGAATAATGTTTTGTTTTAGCTAGGTATCTATCTAATCGTTTCAATTATCCTTTTTTATTAACAACCTTTTTTGTTAATTTCGACCTGTCCTCTGTTTTATAGGTAGGTACCTTAGACGGTCGGCAGAAGCGGCGTCGGCGACGACTACTATAATAGTACCTATACGGTCGGTGAGAAACTCCGATTTATCTGGCGGTGTACACACAAAAACACGATAATGATAAATCGACACGGTCAAACCCTCAACCGAATGTCAAACACAAATTGATGGGTTATTCGTCTGGGAAAAACAATACCACGCTAATAATTTATAAGTACGTACGGGAAGTCCATTTCATACAGAACAATCAAAATTGCTTCCCGTAGTCTGTCTGGAGTTTTAGAAAACGTTTAAGAAGTTTCAAGTCCACGAGAGTTAATTATTATATTAGCGATCGTTTATAATTTGTTTCAATAAAGAAAAATTACATAGGTATACGCGTAATAGTCAGTGGCGTCGGCAAGTTAATCACGATTCACGGTGTTACCATTCTCTTAAATGCTGTTTTAATGGTAGTTGTAATGTCATATATGTGTACATATTTTATAATTGAATATTTCGTTCGGTTCACAGTTATTGCACAGTTATTTTAATATTAGTAGCCCTCTATAGTTTATGATATTGTAAATTTTCCTCGTGTTTTTGTATAAAACTTCTTCGCGTGTAAAGCTGTGATATTATAAAAAATACTATAAAAATAATAATTTGACAACAACCATTCTTTGAGGGTACTTACTGCGTTTATGTGAAAAGTTACCATATAGAGTATGAAGGATTTTATTAAAAAAAAGAAAACGGTGGTCTTCTCTCCCTTTATATATGCGATTCAAACACACAATAAACGGGGTGAATTTAAATTTATAAAGTGATAAATGAAGTAACACATGTATGAGTAGTCAAAAACTTTTGATGTGTTCTTATTTCTTATGTGCTCAATGTGGCAGTTAAAAATGTATGTTTATAAGTATAAAATTATATATAAGTACCTACTTTAGTAATATTAAAACATTGTTGTATTCGTAAAATACAAAGTTATTAAATAATACAATTAAAAGTCAATATTATAATAGGGTCAGTGAAAATGTTATCATTATTTACTATATAATATTATAGTATAGCCGTATAGGTACAAATTATAATTATTGGATATTTCTACCAACCTGGCATCCGTCAATATTTAGTACCTATATTTATTCATAGAATAAAACAACGTAAAATTTAAATTCTTGAATTTAAATAACATTATATACATAATGAGTACATGCAATATAATATATAATGAATACCATATGGTAATAATATTATGTATGTATATACATAGTATATACTATATACGTATATGTATATACTATATTATAGTTTAGTAAGTCATAGATATTATATAGCTATTAATTTTTAGTTTTAAAGTTTAAGCAAATTATTTATGTGTCTCGACTTTTAAAACTGATCACTAAATTCCATTTTACAGAACAAATATAATATGCTTGAGCCAACGATACAATGTGAAACTATACAACTGCTACACCAGTGTCCCTCGTCAAAACAAAGTTTACGGCCTAAACAATATGTATACGAATTGCAATGTCAAACTTTCTTAGACATGCTGTGTGAGTATAATATACACTTATCCGTAAAATATAGATTTAATAAGATAATAGTGCTTCATAGTATGATATATACATAATTTGTGTGACGTATAATATTATCCCATTGTCGGTTTTTGAGAGGTTACACGGTAAAAACAAAAAAACTTCTCTTACACTTGGAAGGATCTCTACAAGAACTTTTGATATTTCAGCTTTCGCATAATGTACGTCAAAGTACGTGTATACGGTAAATGTGGCTGTCATCTTACGCACAATAATCTATACACGAACTTACCTTGATGGTTGTTCTTCCTGGTGGTCTTTTTCTCCTTCATCCAAGGATACTCTTGCTGTCCACCGCCTCCACCGGCGCCGACCACACCACCGCCGCCGCCGCCGCCGCCAACCTGCTGATCTGCCTGCATCTGGTACATGGCGGCGGCGGCTGCGGCGGCGGCAGCGACTTGGTGGTGCTGCTGCTGGTGTTGCGGGTCCACCGGTGACACGTTCTCGTTACCGACGCCACCGCCTCCCATCACGTGGTGCATCATGTAGTCCGGCACGGCGGCGGGCTGATAGTCGGCCGCGTGGTGGTCCATCTGCGGACCGGCCGCGGACACGGCCGCCATCCAAAACCCGTTGCCATCCTGCAGACCGGCGGCCACCGGTGAGTCCTTCATGGCCATGGCGGTCGCCGCGTACATGTCTCCCTTGCGATCACCGCCGCCGCAATCATCGTCGTCGTCTTCGTCGTCGGCGGCCGTGGCGGCGTGCAGGGCGTCGGCCAACATCTGCGGGCCGCCGAACGCGCCCAACATTAGCTGCTGCTGTTTGCCGGGTCGCAGATCGGCCTCGGTGTTTTTTAACATCATTCCGAATGAGCGGAGACGGTATTTTTCACGCGAAAATAGTTTTGTTATTTTCAATATCACCGTATGACACTATTATAATACTGCAGATCACCACGACTATCGCGATTGATATATCGGTGGCGTGCGGCGTGTATAATAATATAATACAAATTTATATAGTAGTAGTAGTAGGACGTATAGTGAGTAGTAGAAATAGTTTTTGTAGTATTATAGTAATAGTAGTACCTAGTATTTAGTAAGTCTAGTATAGTGGTAGTATTTTACAAATAATTTTACATCGGTGGTAGTATAACAATACAATTTAATATTTTCTAATGTCAGTACCGATATAATATTTTAGTAACGGTTTTTACGACGCGGCGTGTAACGACGGCAATTAATTACGAAAACGAAATAAAACTCGCGCACATTCATCGCACCATCATCGCGCCCGTACAATAATTACACATAGGTATACAGCACTGGCTGCAGAACAACCGACGGTTTTAGCAGACGTCGTGGTCGAACGTAGTCCGCCGACTGTCGGCCATCGGACGCGTATGTCGATGTCGTCGTCGTCGCAGTAGCCGCAGTCACAGCAGAGTGTACAGTGCCAGTTGCGGCGGATGAGGCGATACGCCGACGAAGGCGCGCGACGGACCGATAGTTTTATTATTATTATTATTATTCCCGTTCCCGGCACTACCGCACGCCGCGCGCAGCACACGAACCATACGCCGTGCGCCTGCGCCGCGATCGGTACGACGGGGCCGCCTTTTCTCCGCCGCCGCCGCCGCTGTCAGTCACCACCGCCGCCGCCGCACAGCAGCCGCAGCCGATGATTTTTCCCGCGCACCACCTGTCAATCATTACACACACGCGTGCGCTCGCAAACGTTTTACTTTACCCTCTCCGTATATACGACATACAGTATTATATTATCATCTAATATGATATTTTTATATTATAATAATATACTCAGTACGACAGTACTTAGACAGTAGTAATAATATTTAAGTACTCAAAATTGTGTGTGTATATTTGGCGCCTTATCCTCTCGTCATTCATAATACTATAATCATCTACCTCCCCAAAACGCTCTCCCATCTCCGAAAATTGTAGTTTATTTGATACATGTCTAAATGTCTTGTTCTAAATTAATTATTAAATTTATAAATTATTTTCTTTATCCACTTTCAGGCAAAAAATCAAGAGCTTATTATATTCCTGTCAAATAATAATACTTCAATTATATTTTAAGCACCTACACCAGAACTCAGAAGAACAATTTTTATGTTGTATAATATATAATATTATATTATATCCTCAGTAGGCCCCCTTCGATATATGCTGTGAATTGTGAACTTATTTTACAAATGAAATTAACGATTAAATTAGGTATATGGGTATAGGGAACTTAGGCTCGGTATAATATAATAAATTATTATTATACCTATATCACCGATGCCACCATGACGACCGCATCAGTTTCTATTAGTACAGATCAATCTAAAAATGGTTTTCTCGAAAATAGATGAAAATATTTTCAAAAATGTATATTTTTATTTTAGACGGTTTTATTCGTATTTAGATCACCTATACAAGTAAAATTCTAAGAAAAATATACATTTGCAGTATTCAGTGGGTATAATTGCTCTCCGTCTCTGGCATATCAAACGTATGAATGTATAATTCAGTAATCTCAATTTAATTCGTTATTGTATTAAAAATCAAAACGACTTGGATCTTGAAATTATATGACCTATCCCAACAAGTAATGAAATCATAGGTATCACGTGTCAACCAATGTGTATTGATAATTGATATATATACCTAAATATTTGTATTAACATTTTTTAGCCAACATATTATTATATACCTAAGTATTCATTAGGACCTAACTATACAATATGTCTATTGTCTATTGTCTATACGTGCAGTGGAAAAATTATCAACAATTTAAATTGTAGGTGTATAGAAATTATTTTCTGGTAAGGTGGCACTGCTGGGAGCCTTCCATTAATGTTATTATTTTTATGTCAAATGTTCTATTATGTCACTACACTCACTCATTATACCTTGTTTTGTATAGATTGTAAATATACTTTTTAAAATTAAGGCGTATAGAAATAGTGCGATATTAAAATGTTTAATTTAATACTATCAACAATGTATTACTTAAAAATATAGCAATATCTATTTATATAATATAGTATGTAGGTATGTCGTATGTGCAACGAATATTTTCTCATTTTCAATTTCAAATCCACAGAGGCAATGACGGTTGACCCCTCCCACGGGGTGGTCCGCATGTGGTGGCGAAAAACCCAAGGGGTCCACCAATTACCCTCCCCCCCCCCGATATCCGCCACTGCATCAGATAGGTTAGTATATTGTAGCATATTGTAGTTATAGACTTCTAGTATGTTGTATTATACATCTGTAAGTACAATGTACATTGTAAATATATACGTCCTAGCTGGTACGTTATATAGGTGACATGACATATGCCACATGTGTATGTAGGTATATTATTATTTAAATACATTATATAGACAATAAACAACTAATTAAATAGATAAATATAATATTACAATTTACGTATAGGTCCTCTATAACTAACAAGTGATGTACCTATAAGTATATACCTACAGTGGCATAGCCAGGAATTTTGTATGGGGGGGGGGGGGGGGCTAAGTATAAAAATAAAATATGTCTTTTATTTACACTTTTTATTTTTTATTAGGTAATCTTGATAGAGTTCTAAGGTTATCACGGTCAATGGGGGGGGGGGGCTATAGCCCCCTTAGCCACCCCCCTGGCTACGCCACTGTATACCTATAACGTACAAAACAAGTATAAGCCATACAGGATGAAGGTGTGCCTATATTAATATGAAGAAAATAATTGGTTAATTAATAGTATTCGTCTAAGAGCCAAGATATTAATATTATATATAAAGCTATAATAGAGCTATATATACAATATTGTAGGTATACAATAACGTTCGGAGTGTGATTTTTTTTTTTTTTTAATAATTTTAACTAAACGACTAATTTCTCATAGCGGCAATAAAGCTTCCTGTGGATGTGTATTTACATTACTATTGTACATTAAAATATCATATAATATTTTAGAACTTTGAACATATTATTATGCGATATTGTACACCAGGCCGCAACGACGACGATGTTTTAAATTATCCATCGCACACGCACAATCACTCGGCAGGTCGTCGGTGTTGTGTCTGTATTTTTTCTTTCCTGACCGTCGCTCCTTAAAAAATACCCCCCCCCCCCCCCCATCCACCGACAACCGTCACCGTCGTAGACAATGAACGCCGCCACGTACAGGTGAGGTGCTGTGTACGTGTACGTACGTGTGCTTGTGTGTGCGTGCGTGGGCCGTGGCGAGGGCCGCGCGGGGTCGGGCCGACCGGCCAATCGGCGACACGCGGTCCGACTGCAAACCACTCCTCCGCCGCGTCGTTCGTCCGTTTCGGTTCCGACTGCGCGCTCGTACGCCGCCGGTATCGCCGCATTATTATTATTATAGTCATGTCTTTCGGTAGTCGACCACACCGATGGTTTTTGGCGAGTTTCACACCGGTCGAGACACACGTGAACAAAACGGAAAACGTATTTTTTAGAACAAAGCTTTGTAAACATTTATTGACATTATAATATACAATATACCTACATAATATAAGTATATTATTATTATTCTTTGTCAACCACTATCTATTATTGTAATATTATATAGTAGGTACCTTTTTTAAATACCTATATACAACAACTATTATACACATATTATAATACTATATGCTTAGGTTATAGCTACTTATACCTACGAGATTATTATACGATGATAATTAGATGTAATAATATACTTATTATTAGGATTATCTATCATAGTATATAATATAATATATATAATCTATAGTAGCATAACAGGTTTGAGTAAATACTATATATAATATATATTAAACAAGTTAAATTTGATACTAAGTCTTACCAAAAAGTCTACTATAGGCATACCTATATACAAAGTCACATGACTCACATAGGTATATAATGTCACCTAAGTATTACACTTTTTTATTTGCGAAAAACTTCGTAATGACATATTTGAAATATTGTGTATCTATGGAAATTGAAAATAGCTGCTATTATGTATAGCCGTATAGGGTGAATTATAATAGATGTATAGTATTATGATGCATCCTTCGAGCATTTATTGAATTTGTATCGTATATATTATATTTATATATTATGATATTATAATATATATGTAATAATGTAATGTATTGTATATATACTTTTCCAGATTCATCGAAATAGCGGCAATATTGCAGCTTAATTTTTTATAATACGCATATGGAATTATATGGTGTGTTTTCGTAGAATAAAATTAAAAAATATACAAACATACCTAGTGGTTTTTTAAACATTATAAACTTAATATTACAATTATTCAAGGTACTAAACGACCATATTATTTTCATATTCCTGATATTTTTTGTACTACTTAAAGAGGGTCCTATGGCGATAGAATCATCTATTTTTCAAATGAGACCCCCCAAAATCCTACTGCAAATTATTTAGCTGGTGATTTTCTTAAAAATGTTGATGTATCCAAATCAAAATTCTTAAAAGTAGTTTCTGAGTTATTAAAATGTTTGTTCTAAGAATAATAATCCTTAATTAATACGGTTTTATAAAAATATAAGCTATATGCCTATATGGCTATATATAATATGACGTACCTACCTACCTAAATACCTAATATTAGATGCAGTACCTATTCATTATACTTGGATAATTTTTACAAATTATTCATATTGATAGATAAATATTAAATAGTAATTTCTAAAATTTTCAAACAATCTAAACTCCCAAATTTACTTAACTAATTACCATTGATATATTTCCCTTTGTACACAGAGTTATATAACTCAAAAACTATTCTTTCGTATTTTGATTTAGATACAAGAAAATCCTCAAAAATAATACCTGATAAAT